AAAACTATTTACATTTTAAGAGTTTTTATTACCACAACGTTTACAACCACTTTATTAACAAAACTATTTACATTTTAAGAGTTTTTATTACCGCAACGTTTACAACCACTTTATTAACAAAACTATTTACATTTTAAGAGTTTTTTATTACCGCAACGTTTACAATCCCTTTATTAACAAAACTATTTACATTTTGAAAGTTTTTATTATCGCAACGTTTACAACCACTTTATTAACAAAACTATTTACATTTTAAGAGTTTTTATTATCGCAACGTTTACAACCACTTTATTAACAAAACTATTTACATTTTAAGAGTTTTTATTACCACAACGTTTACAACCACTTTATTAACAAAACTATTTACATTTTAAGAGTTTTTATTACCACAACGTTTACAACCACTTTATTAACAAAACTATTTACATTTTGAAAGTTTTTTACTATCGCAACGTTTACAACCACTTTATTAACAAAACTATTTACATTTTGAAAGTTTTTTACTATCGCAACGTTTACAACCACTTTATTAACAAAACTATTTACATTTTAAGAGTTTTTTTTTCTCTCGCATTGCTGGAAGACTAAGATTAAGGGAATTTTACGCCCCTTGACGACTCGAATACTTTCATAAGTAAATTTACTCTATAAATGATATTGTTAAGTGAGGCAAGATATGCCGCTTACTGAAGTTTGGTTTGTTTAGAATTTCGCGCAAAGCTACTCTATGGCTATCTGCAATAGCCGTCCGTAATTTAGCAGGGAAAGCAGCTAGTCAACAACACCCACCGCCATCTTTTGGGTTACTATTTTACCAACAGAGAGTGGCATTGACCGTACCTTTATAACATCCCCACGGTTGAAAGGGCAAGCATGTTCGGTGACGGGGATTCGAACCGGTGACACGCAGCTTGCTTAGTTTGAAAACTTATGTAAAATAGATAAAATTTCAAGTTTCAGTTTTTATAAATTTTCCGAATAGTGTTGTGTTATGTTATACTGTGTGTCTGTGGAAACACTAAAAAATGACGAAAGTTTATTTACTTATAAAATATCATAGACAGCTGTGTTATATGTGTGTTATAGTTGTGTTAGACAGCTGTGTTATGTGTGTGTTACAGTTGTGTTAGACAGCTGGTTTATGTGTGTGTTACAATTGTTTTAGACAGCTGGTTTATGTGTGTGTTACAGTTGCTTTATGTATGTGTTACAGTTGTGGTAGACAGTTGATTTATGTGTGTGTTACAGTTTAACACAGCTGTCTAACACCACACATAAATCAACTGTCTACCACAACTGTAACACACACATAACACAGCTGTCTAACACAACTGTAACACACACACATAACACAGCTGTCTAAAACAATTGTAACACACACATAAACCAGCTGTCTAACATAACTGTAACACACACATAAACCAGCTGTCTAACATAACTGTAACACACACATAAACCAGCTGTCTAACATAACTGTAACACACACATAAACCAGCTGTCTAACATAACTGTAACACACACATGTTACAGTTATGTTAGACAGCTGGTTTATGTGTGTGTGTGTGTTACAGTTATGTTAGACAGCTGGTTTATGTATGTGTTACAGTTGTGCTAGACGGTTGGTTTATGTGTGTGTTACAGTTGTGTTAGACAGCTGGTTTATGTGTGTGTTACAGTTGGTTTATGTATGTGTTACAGTTGTGCTAGACGGTTGGTTTATGTGTGTGTTACAATTGTGTTAGACAGCTGTGTTATGTGTGTGTTACAGTTGTGTTAGACAGCTGTGTTATGTGTGTGTGTTACAGTTATGTTAGACAGCTGTGTTATGTGTGTGTGTTACAGTTATGTTAGACAGCTGTGTTATGTGTGTGTTACAGTTATGTTATACAGCTGTGTTATGTGTGTATTACAATTGTGTTAGACAGCTGTGTTATGTATGTGTGTTACAGTTGTGTTAGACAGTTGGTTTATGTGTGTGTTACAGTTGTGTTAGACAGCTGTGTTAGACAATTGGTTTATGTGTGTGTGTTGCAGTTGTGTCAAGACTCTGTTTTGGACTTCATAGTATTTTCTGCCATTTGAAATAGCCAGGGTTAAATATTTGTTTATTTGTTTTAGAATAAAGCCACATTGGGCTATCTGCTGTGTCTACCGCAAGAAATCGAATCACGGATTTTAGTGTTGTAAGTCAGTAAACTTACCACTGTCCCACCGGGGGCCAGGACTAAAAGAAGATAGGTTTTTTTTTTACATGAAAATAATAAATACAAAATAAGTGCATATGACTACAAGTTTAATATAAATTTTGTGCTCATATAACTGTAGCATTTAAAAAACTTCTTTCAACAAAAGCAGCCACCGAATAACTCTACTGATCTTAATTTTCTTGTTCATTTCAAATTTTCGTGATCTTTATTATCTAGGCATTTACCCTATTTTGTGGACTTGGAATCAACAATACGCTGATGTACAGTGAACTGGAGAAAGCTATGGCTCGTCAGAAAGTTGCAATTGAGGTACGTTTACTTTGCTCTTGAGGAGGTTACAGTGAAGATATGTTTACTTATAGGTCGGTGGATGACCAGAGAGACAAGATAAACAAAAGATTCAAACTTCTGAGTGAAGTTTATATGAACATTATTGAGAGATGAAATGTTACGTTAATAGAATCAGAAGCTCTGATCTTCATTATTTTTGTTTCACTAGTTCAATGTTTTTCCATATCTCATAAAAAGGTTGATTTCTGGTTCGACCTGTCTCTCAAGCCTTTCAGGTCACATTTGTTGTCGCTAGAATTTGTGTGATGCCTAAAAAATATAATATTGTTTAACTGAGCCTTTTACACTGTTTTAATTATTTAAAGATGATCAAACGTTAAAAATATACCAAACAAATTATTTAAAATAGTGAAGAGCAACGAGCGTTGTGAATTAAGAGTTAGTTTTACATCAAATGCTATTCACATTGAATTGGATAACATTTATTCGTGAAAGGAATAAAAAATAAAACTTGTAGTTCAGTGGCCACTGATCTCAAATCATTAGATTGATTACATATTGAGGATCATTAGAGTGACTACAGATTTAGAACCAGTTGAATGACTACATATTGAGAATCATTAGAGTGACTACAGATTTAGAACCAGTTGAATGACTACATATTGAGGATCATTAGAGTGACTACAGATTTAGAACCAGTTGAATGACTACATATTGAGAATCATTAGAGAGACTACATATTGAGAATCATTAGAGAGACTACATATTGAGAATCATTAGAGTGACTACATATTGAGAATCATTAGAGTGACTACATATTGAGAATCATTAGAGTGACTACAGATTTAGGACCATTATTGTGATGACTAGAGATTTAGAACCAATTGAGTGACTACTCATTAGAGTGCCTACAAGTTTAGGTTCATTACCGTGATTAATAGAGATTTAGAAACAATTGAGTGGCTACAGATTGAGGATAATTGGAGTGACTACATTGAGATAGTGGACTTTAGGAAAAAGAGATGAAAACTGACGTATTAAAACAAATGTAAAAACATGTGGTTTTCCGTATTTCATGGTTTATCAGGCTTCTATCGTCATTGCATTTCAGAGTGTATAGCCTGTATGAGCTTTGTATTTCTGAACATTTTACTTGATAGCTCTTCCCTGGTTCTTCCGTGTAAGACTTTCTCTCAGGTCAAAGGATGTTAAACACTATCATGATCTTCCCAACTTTGCTTGATAGATCTTCCCTGGTTCTTCGACATAAGAATTAGGGTATGGCCACAGGGTGTTAAACACTATCATTATCTTCCCAACTTTGCTTGATAGATCTTCCCTGGTTCTTCGACGTAAGAATTAAGGTATGACCACAGGGTGTTAAACATTATCATGATTTTCCCAACTTTGCTTGATAGATCTTCCTTGGTTCTTCCACATAATGTGGTGCTATTTTTATTTTGGCCATCAAACTTCTCAATAATTCAACCTTGAATGTATCTGTAAGAAAATTTCTAGAGTGTTTCGTTAAATTCTTTAAAGGATAGCATAAAAAGGATTATAAGACTATAAACGTTACTCTGGTGTAAAAAATAAACCACACTTTTGGAACAAAACATTAGCAAAAAAGACGAGGAAAATGCTTTCGACAATTTCATGTGTCCTCTTCAGTCCTATACAGTTCCCCAATCGTTGTGCTTACATTGTGTTCTAAAAGTATGGTTTGTTGTGTATATTTATTTAGCTAATATACACGGTATCAAGTATTTTACACTGTTACTCTGGTGTGTATGTAGTTACAAAATAATCTGACTCGGATAAATACAGACAAGGCTTAGGTCGTGGTGTATACGAATTGATATAATATGGAATCTGACTCGGATAAATACAGACAAGGCTTAGGTCCTGGTGTATACGAATTGATATAATATGGAACCTGACTCGGATAAATACAGACAAGGCTTAGGTCCTGGTGTATACGAATTGATATAATATGGAATCTGACTCGGATAAATACAGACAAGGCTTAGGTCCTGGTGTATACGAATTGATATAATATGGAATCTGACTTGGATAAATACAGACAAGGCTTAGGTCCTGGTGTATGCGAATTGATATAATATGGAATCTGACTTGGATAAATACAGACAAGGCTTAGGTCCTGGTGTATACGAATTGATATAATATGGAATCTAACTCGGATAAATACAAACAAGGCTTAGGTCCTGGTGTATACGAATTGATACTCTGGTGCGTATATAGTTACAAAATAATACCAGATGGATTTAGAAAGTCTAGACAGGATATATAACAATACAATAGATGGATTGAAGTGGATTTAACAATACTAGTTATTACGTATTTTTCAGGTAATTTCTTATCATGCTACGGCGACTCAAAAGGATATCAAGCAATTTCTGGTAAGATAAATTTATACTTATTTTGGCTACAATTAAATATATGCCAAATAAAATTCAAGCAGTAACATCTAAATAGCTGTGGTGTATTAAACTGTAGCCTTACATTAAAGATCACACAGCATTACGTAGCTGTATTGAACTGTGACTGTACATTATTGATGACGAAACTTCATATAGCTGTGTTTAACTGTGGCTGTACATTAAATATCTGTGATGTTTATTATATGGTTATTCTTAACCAAATAGCAAGATTTATTGGTACAGTTGTGATGCTCTTATAGTTACAAGTGCGGATCATATTCGTGGCTCGAACCTTCGACCCACTTTTTACACTAATCATTAGGTCACTTCAATTCCTTTAAGATAACGATATACAGTTCCTCATATCTTTAATGTACAAGCATGGTTTAATAGTATATGTATATATGCTTCATATGCGCTTGGTTTCTTATTTTTTTTTAATTGTATCACTTGCACATACGGCCCGGCATGGCCAGGTGGTTAAGGCACTCGACTCGCAATCTGAGGGTCGAGGGTTCGAATCCCTGTTCGAATCCCGAGGGCTATCTGCGCTAGCCGTCCCTAATTTAGCAGTGTAAGACTAGAGGGAAAGAAGCTAGTCATCACCACCCACCGCCAACTCTTGGGCTACTCTTTTACCAACGAATAGTGGGATTGACCGTCACATTATAACGCCTTCACGGCTGAAAGGGCGAGCATGTTTGGTGTGACGGGTATTCGAACCCGCGACCCTCAGATTGCGAGTGCAGCGCCCTAACCACCTGGCCATGCCGAGCACAGGAAATGAAGAGAGATATTAGTGTAGTATGAGATGCTGAAAAACACACACACACACATATATATATTTATATACTGAGAGGCAATAAGTATCTAATAATACGTTTTACACGTCGTTTTTCGCTTTTGTATAAGCTATTACTTTCAAACCATTTAATACAGCCAAGTATGTATTTTTAGACGGGCCCTTGAAAATAACAGAAGTTCAAACTATTTTTAATTTTTATCTGATGCTTTTTAATTGAGATATTATATTTTTCTTAGAGTGTTTTAAGTCTTGAAAATGTAACAATGAAACTATTGTTGAAAACCAGAATATGATTTTGCCTGTATAGCAGAGTCGCCATCTGCCGGAAGCTAAGAAATTGGAGCTGACGAGTTTGAAGTTTGACGATTTCTCTTTGACATCTGACGAAATGATTTTAGCATCAATCCACATGTTCCAGGATTTAGGTCTCTTGTCGCATTTCAAGATTGACGTGTCTGTAAGTAACATTTATAATACAAATGCAAACTCACTGATATCCTTAATATTTAGTTTAGGAAGTTTGTAATAAGGAAATGAGTTTTCCGTTATTTAAAAACACGCCCTTTGTTTTGGCTAGTTTCAAAATTACAGATAATTTACTACACCATATTTCGACTTATATGCCTTCAACAGGATGTACAAATTTTACAAAAGCTATAGCAATTCAAACAAAGATAGATGTCGGGGGATAACGTTTCCATCTAACTACACACGTCAAATAATTCTGACATCTTGTAATTTAGTGTTGCTATGGGAATAATAGAAATAGCAAGACTCTGATACTGGCATATTAACTGTTGCTAGGAGATGAACATTACAACTGAAAGTAGACCCGATTTGTATATTACGCATTATTGGGACAAGTATTCGTACAGCTTCCAAAGACGATTCAGTTAAATAAAAAGAGACGTCGTGTCTTTTCTTGCTTAAAAGCTTTTATTCAACTGAGACAAATACTAATTTGTTTTGACCTGAGTGAAACTTATTGGAAAGGAGCCATCATACTTTACCGTATCTGAGGCTTGTAAGTAGGACATTATCCCCCCCCCCGTAATGATTGACTGAGAGATTGGAAGGGTTTGTTTTATTGTTGCATAAACTAAAGTTCTCGTTTCTATTCTCTTTAACCTTGATGGGGGACGTCGTGTTGCATACTTTATATCAAACTGGGCAGGTAAAAACTGGAAAATGTATGGATTTTAATTATTTCTTTTTCTGCCAAATTGCTAGATATGTTTCGTGGGCGTCCGGAGGGTGGGGTGGGGGGCAAGAGGGGGCACCTCCCCCCGGAAAATGAGAAAACATATTTTTTTTATTCATTCAGCATATGTATGTGAATTTTTTTATTCAATTCACAATTTCACACTACTCACCCCCCCCCCCCCCCGGAAAAATTTGTGCGGACGCCCATGTTTATAATATAATGATATTATCCTCATCGTTAAGCCTAAAGTGGTTATTTTCAATATAAGTTTTTCTTGTGCTATTTTACAGGTTCTATGCCTCTTTCTGGCGACAGTAAGAAAGAACTACAGAAACATTCCATACCACAACTGGCGACACGCATTTAATGTTGCACAAGTCATGTTCGCGATCCTGAAGGTATGTCGGAACTCCAGCTTTTAGCTCTCAATACTCTATTTCGTCGTTCTTGGATAACAGCGGGTTTCCTGTCTTTATTTAATTCTGAATAAAGTAAACTGTAAACTCGAACAGCTGCCTTCCCTCTAGTCTTACACTGCTAAATTAGGGACGGCTAGCGAAGATAGCCCTCGTGTAGCTTTGCGCGAAATTCAAAAACAAAACAAACAAACTTTATCCTCTATTCCAACGGGATACTCGGAATGGACAATCAAATTATGGGTTTATTTAAAGCCAATATGTTGTTGTTGTTGTGGCAGCTGAAACTCTTTAAACATAATTAATTAACATCTTGCTGCTGTTGTGTAGCCTAATTACAGTCTAATAAACTGTATCAAATTTGGCTTTTCTGAATAGTTACGACAGACAGACAAGAGTCGTTACGTATGACGTATTCAGATGAGGGAACCATTAAGCAGAACGTGGTTGGATGCTTAGTGAGCGGGCCTCAGCCCGCCCAGGCCCACTTATGATTACACTACCGCCATGAAGTATAAAAAGAATTGGTAGGAATGGTAGAATTAGGGGAGACAAGTATAAATTTGTCAGATATTTTATTTTTGAAACAGAGTGATTGGCTTTTGGAATAGGTTGCCTCCAGATGTGGTGGAAGTTGTAAAGATAAGAGTTTAAAGGAAGATTTTATAAATATTTGAAAGATAAGGGCTGAATATTGAGTTTGTATATACACATATATTGTCAGGACCATTAGTTGTTGCTGGCCTTGTTATCAGGGTTATTAGTTTTTGCTGGCACTGTTGTTAGGGTCATTAGTTGTTACTGGCACTATTGTCAGGATCATTAGTTTTTGCTGGCACTGTTGTTAGGGTCATTAGTTGTTGCTGGCACTGTTGTTAGGATCATTAGTTGTTGCTGTCACTGTTGTTAGGGTCATTATTTGTTGCTGGCACTGTTGTTAGGATCATTAGTTGTTGCTGGCACTATCGTCAGGATCATTAGTTTTTGCTGGCACTGTTGTTAGGGTCATTAGTTGTTGCTGGCACTATCGTCAGGGTCATTAGTTTCGATGGCACTGTTGTTAGGGTCATTAGTTGTTGCTGGCACTTTCGTCAGGGAAGGTAATATTTTTCTAGGACTTACCAGTAAATAAAGTAAATGGTATTGTGAGCACGAAACGGATCAGTTATTTACCTGTTTCTCCATTTTACCTCATGTTTTATCAGAGAATAGCTCATTAATTTAAGACTCCCTGTCTTCCAGAATTGTGGTGTCAAGTGTGTTCTGTCAGACCTGGAAATCTTAGGAATGATGGTGGGTTGTCTCTGTCACGATCTTGATCATAGGGGGACGAATAACGCATTTCAACAAAAGTAAGTACGTTGTTATGATTCTTCATCTTCCATCTATTTATTTAACAGATCGATGAGCACATTACAGTTTACCTATGGCCGTACACCTACTATGTCTTTTCTTTTCTCTTCCAGAACTGGCTCAGCTTTGGCTTTGCTGTACGGGAATAAAGCGACGATGGAACAACACCATTTCAACCATGCTGTGATGATTTTGTCCAGCGAAGCAAGTTCAAACCTCTTTTATTTCATGTAGTTTACTTCAGAGGATTAGGGTTAACTATGAATTATAAGGACTTTTGTAGAAAACAAACAGACCAGATTTGAAGCACAACGTAGTGGAGGAAAGTTGCACTTAATTCCACGTACAAAGTTATTACTAGAAAAATCTGACGTAGTTGTATTGTAACTTTAGCAAAGTTTTGTTAATCGCTTTAATTAAAAGCTCTTATGTAGATTTAACAAAATATTTTATTCATTAATCTTTCTTCTTATCTTTCAAAATCATAGGTTACTTTTCTTAGATGTTCTTGTAGGCCTACTACTTCTTACAGATCTAATATACGTGACAAAAATAAATCTGGATTTATCAACTTTTCTCCTAGAACCTGACTTGATGACGTGAGATTCTAATAAGAATCGTTTTTAATGCTAGGCTTAGATCTTAGATCGTTTTTAGATCTTTCTTCTCTGTATATCGTTTCTTGTAATGTTTTAAAGGACCACAACATCTTTGCTACATTGTCCCGTGATGAATACAGCCGAGTTATGAACATTCTGAAAAATGCAATCCTTGCTACGGACCTCTCTACATACTTTCAGTAGGTTTTATATATATATCCATCTCTCTCTATATATATACAATTGTTTTCAATGCTTCGAAATCTCTTTTTATGTTGTCAGCATTATTTGCAAGTTTGTCCCGTTGTTTTTTTTTCAAATCTTTTTACTCAGTATCAGCGTGGATAATACAATCGTTTTATTTATATTTAGTAGTTTTTTTAAATTTTTTTACCGATTTTCAGAAGATTTTATTTGGAATATCTGTAGTTACTCCAACTTTATATGTGTTTTTTTTTAAACTATCAACCCATTTTCTGTACGATTTTAACATTGTTTTAGCTTCTACAGTTTTACTCGAAACTTACTTAAAATTCGTTTTTACAATATTTCAAATCGATACTTATCATTAATCGTTATTTGAAATTGACTTAACAAACTCCACCCCCCCAGTCACGTGTAGCTCTAGGAGTTATCACGTGACGTATCTCAAAAGATACATAATGATGGTATTATACGTTAAGCGACTGGATGTAATTGATTGATCACGTATTGTCCCTAAGCTGATCGATAACTCCTGTGAATAATTCAACCCATCTTCTTTCCACTGGCTTATGCGTGACCTCAGTGTCTCCTGTATGATTTGTATTCGAACAGACTTCGCGGCAAATTCTTCTCTCTGGTTGACAATACGAACTACGAATGGAAGAAAGAGGAGAACCGAGAGGTTTTAAAAAGCATGCTTATCACAGCGTGTGATCTAGGAGCTTCCACCAAACCGTGGTCTATTCAACAGAGAGTAAGCAGTCTTTCAGATAAAACATTCTATTAGGTTTAACAGTACTAGTGTGTTTGTATAATATCTTACACTTTAGGTTATTAGTTGATAATGTATGAGAGTAAGAACTGGAAAAATAATGAATTTATTACGACTTATTATGACCAATATTTTACAACAAGATCTGATTTAATTTTGAAATATATATATATATATATACTGGTATGTGTTTTTAAATGTTCGTTTTCTATATTATAAATCTGTAGAGAAAGAGACAGGAAACAAAAGGAAATGGTCAAAGATGAGGATTTAATTAAATCAGTATTGATTACTATAAAGCTATGATAGCGACCAAGAACATAAACTTGCTGGATGACAGGATTAACACAAAATACTACTATGATTTGGATACATTTCTTTCAAGGCTTATTTTGTCATTCTTCAGAAAAACGTTAGGTTAGCACAAGAAAAGAAGCTATTTTCACCTGTGAATATCACCCGAATAGAAGCACCAATTACAGAGATGTAATATGTAACACTATAGTTCATTGGTTCCCAACCTTTTCACCACCAAGGACCTCAAGTACCAATTACAGAGCTGTAATATGTAACACTATAGTTCACTGGTTCCCAATCTTTTCATCACGAAGGACCTCTTTTTATTATTATTTTTTTCCTCAAGGACCCCATGTTTTTGAAAGATTCCCTATACCCAACAAACTGTTTTTATTAACTAATAATTAACTCGTTTTTCCATTTTCATTATCAAATAAAAGAAATATATAACAATTAAAAAAACAGCAGTATTAAAAACTTACTTGTTTAATGAAATGGTTGATGTGGCTTTGTTGATATTGTGTTCAGGTTCAGTCGTAGACAGTTTTAAGTGTAGATCAGGTTCCACATTCATGCGGTTTCTGTATTTTGATTTTATATAAAACAGTGGTGAGAAAGCCTGCTCACATAAATATGTAGTTGGGAATGACATTAAATATTTCAGTGGTTTGGATGCCAGTTCAGGGTAATCGTTTTTTTTTCACATGCACCAAATGTCTGATATGTTGTACTGAATGAAATTTGATCTCAAAGAGGTGTCACATGAAACCTCACGAACCCCCAGTATCACCTTCGTGGACCCCAGGTTGGGAACCACTGCTATAGTTTCATTTTTACAAATTCTATTTTGGCTTTAATGTTATTATTTATAGCCCTAGTCATCCTGTTTTTTTTTAATTCCTCGAGATATCATTCCAAAACTTCTTTTGAAGACAAAAATTGTATTATTCAAAAGAAAAGTTATTTCTTCCAGCTAGTTAATAACGATAGAATTATAAAGAACTGTGATGATAATGCTGACTACGTTTCCAAATTTTATTTATATTTTCGATAACTTTGTTGAAATATTATTTGTCCGGAGTTAAATGGTTTGTTTCTTTGTTATTAAGCACAAAGTTGCACAATGGGCTATCTATGGGTATTGAAACTCAATATTTAGTGTTATAATCCCACAGACGTACCACTATGCCACAGGGAACGAGTTAAAAGAATCGTAAGATGGTCGATTTTTGTGGTTAATCTCTTTTTTTTTTGGGCAAGTTAAAGTATTTTAAACACGTGTAGGATGTTGGGTAATTTGGTATTCTCTAATTTAATCCTTGTGGGGGTTTACCTTAGGTTATTAACGAGGACACGTGTATTCATGTTATGTGTTTAGAGGTTATATACGTCCCCAAAAGATTGAAAACACGACATCTGCAACGTCAGAAGCAAAATATCGTCTTAAATAAGAAAATAAGTAAAAACAGGAAGCTGGTTAAACATGTTTATTTAAACAGACGATTGTTTATTAACTACTTGTAATTACAGAATCGTTATACTCGAACACAATAAAGACTACCGTAGAGTTTTATACCAGAAAAAGTAGGCAGAAACACCTGTAGTAGAGAGGGTTGAGTACGTCACATTGAAAGGATGTTTAATACACATATCAGCAAGTCACGTCACAAGCCAAAGCCGTTATACGGTTGCGGTGTAACGGCATGTATCAGAACTACATTTTGAAATTGTTTGGCTTTGCGTAGGTAGTGTGACGTCACCGAAAATTGATCGCTTTTGGGAAGGATATGTAAAAGCCCTTTCCAAAACAAAATATTCATCCTCTCAGATCATAAGGATGTGTTTAGATCGGGGATCAACACCAGAATCATCCTGTAATAAGTGCCCCAACTGTGGAGAGCAAAGTGCGGCGTCTTGTAACAGTTGTAGATCCATGAATACAAAAGTCAGTGACACAAGCCAGCAGCGTGCGTCAGGTAACAATACGCAATATAATCAAGAAGGAACTCCTCCTGGAAAAGGGACACAACTCAAGTGTACACAAGCTACTTCCATGACATGTCTGTTCGACCGTTGCATATCTTAAGCAGTTGGAAAATGAAATGGGTATTTACGCTATACCTTACAAAAACATACCAAATAGATCAGTTGACGCAATACCCATGAATATCTGCACGCTAGGACTGTTGAAACGGATTCTAGAAAACCGCCGTATTCGTACATTAGATGGCTTATTGAAAGCGTGCAGGGAGGAGTGGTGTTCTTTGACATGACATCCTTACGACGGAGCGTATTGCATATGAAGCTAAGTTACTGGTCTATTGTCAGATATATCATGACTAGACGTGGCGACTTGGACTATAACGATGTTGGGAGGCTCCAAGACGTTTTAATATAATGTACTCAACCTCTTTATGCAAGACACGATAACTAGTAATAAAGATATTATAAACTTTAGGTAGCCTAACTACTAGCTGACGATAAATAATAATAAAAAAAAATTCTAACATTTAAGCAGCCAAGCTAACCGACGGTATCAAGTAACACAAAATATTCTAGATTTAATTATCCAAACTAATAATGGACGTTAACTGTAAAAATAAATAATCTTTAAGAAGCCATACTAGTAACTGACGTTAACTATTAATAAAAAAATTCTAAAATCTAAGTAGCTTATCTTATAACTGTCGCGAAGTACTAACAACAATATTCCGTTTTTTAGGTAGCCAAACTAGTAACTGACGAATTTTTCGATCAAGGGGACAAGGAAAGGCTGCAGTTGAAAATTCAACCACAGGTTTGTTTATCTTTAGGTTTAGTCAACTTTACGTCTGAACAATGTTGTTAAACTTTGAACAAATACACCATTGTTGTTCTTTTGTTTAACAGACAATAAATAAAACTTAATGACCAGAGAGAATCATTAATTCTAATTATGTCAACCGAGTTAAACTGTTTAACGGTAGGAAAAGGTTAGCGCCATAAGAAGGTTTGTTTTTTGAATTTCGCACAAGACTACTCGAAGACCGTCTGTGCTAGCTGTCTCTAATTTAAAAGTTTATCCTCTTCAATATTGGTCAGGATTTGACTAATTCCAAACATATTATGATAAGGAACACAAACTGTCTTATGGCAGTCATAAGCCAATCTAAAATCCACTTATCTTAAATACAAACAGGAAAGCACGACTTTCAGTTGTGCTTAGAGTGCAAACTGTAGACAACGAATGACTGTAAGCATATGGTACCATGGGTCACATTTCATTATTTTAGGCTAGAACAATGACAATGACAACTAACTAAATGAAACACTTGTATTGTCCTTGCTGGAGGTGTTGTAGTAGTGTCGAGAAAGGTTGGTTCCTTAAACTATGTTACAATGTTTCATTTTCACCCTAATGGATAAGGTTCCAAGATGATAGTGCAAACATTCATGTCCCCTCATATTCTCCAAAGTTGTTTCGAAAAAACACGAGAGTGACTTCAGTCACCTCTCTTCGGCAGTCACAAGATTTCAGTCCGATCAAACATCAGTGAAATGAATTACAATCGAACAAGGCAACTTACCAGTGACCAGAAAGTAGCCCAACCAGATCATGGGTGTGGGTCCTAACAAAGTGACCAGAAAGTAGCCCAACCAGATCATGGGTGTGGGTCCTAACAAAGTGACTAGAAAGTAGCCCAACCAGATCATGGGTGTGGGTCTTAACAAAGTGACTAGAAAGTAGCCCAACCAGATCATGGGTGTGAGTCCTTATAAAGTGACCAGAAAGTAGCCCAACCAGAGCATGGGTGTGGGTCCTAATAAAGTGACCAGAAAGTAGCCCAAACAGATCATGGGTGTGGGTCCTAACAAAGTTACCAGAAAGTAACCCAACCAGATCATGCATGGGTGGTCAGGTCCGAACAGAATGACCAGTGTAGAAAGGTGCACCTCAAGTTTAAAGCCTAATTATGTTTCCTGAAGTATAAAAAATTCAAAGAAGTCAGTGCGAATTGAGTAATCATTATTCAAAACAAGTTTTATATACCTAGGTGGTTACAATGTCGTTTTAAACTTGTTACAAGGATATGTGTCGGAACGTAAGCATTTTGAAAGATTATTTCAACTGTCCACGAATGATATTCTCTGCTTGATTCGGTTCGAGTATCAGTGATTTATACCACGAAGATCTGTAATTATTTGTTTAGGCTTTGATGGATAGAGAAAAGATAGACGAACTACCACAGATGCAAGTTAGCTGGATTGATGCAATATGTCTACCATTATATAAGGTAAGATACAACTCGTCAGTTTATAAAAACTTGTATGTCAACCAGTCAATATGTCTACCATTATATAAGGTAAGATACAACTTGTCAGTTTATAAAAACTCGTATGTCAACTAGTCAATATGTCTACCATTGTATAAGGTAAGATACAACTCATGAGTTGGATTGATGCAATATGTCTACCATTATATAAGGTAAGATACAACCATTACAAAAGGTAAGATACAACCATTACAAGGTAAGATACAACTCATCAGTTTATAAAGACTCGTATGTCAACCAGTCAATATGTCTACCATTATATAAAGTAAGATACAACTCGTCAGTTTATAAAAACTCGTATGTCAACCAGTCAATATGTCTACCATTATATAAGGTAAGATACAACTCGTCAGTTTATAAAAACTCGTATGTCAACCAGTCAATATGTCTACCATTATATAAGGTAAGATACAACTCATCAGTTTAAAAAAACTCGTATGTCAACCAGTCTATGCAACAAAAAGTTGTATAAAAAGAGTATAATTTTCCCACTAAAGGCAAAATAACTGATTTTTTTTAAACCACCAATAGCTTAGAAAATTATCTGTAGGTGCCTGTTTTATCGGTAAGGTACAAACATTAGATGGTAATGTTGACTGAGTGTATGTATAGTTGTGTTATGTAAGTGATCACACCGATTGGTAACTCAACAGCCAATCAAACTAAATACAAAATCAGCCTTGTAGCCAATGGGATAAAAACTTTTTACAATACTCCATATTGTACTCAACGTTCCTGCTACTGTAGTGCTTAGTTATTTATCAAATGGTGGTTTGTAATACTTTTTTCATCTTAGGCTTGAAACAACAACGCAGTATACAAGTAAATTATACTAGTATCGTGTATACGTGTAAAGAGTGATCAAAGATCATATTCGTACAACTGTTCTTCTTTTACTCCCGGAGAAGATATACCAACTTGTAGAAAGTGTTAGAGTTCTTGTTCGTGTTCTTGTTTTTTCGTGCTCTAAAATATTTAAATATAAAAATTTTTTACTTTTTTTGGTGATTATTTTTAGGTCTTTTCTAAGATCAACAGCGGGTTTATAGAAATGGTAGAGGGAGCTGTTAGCAACAGAGATAAATGGGAAGCTCTCGCCTCACGAAAAGTCAACTTAACCAATGGAAATGCAGAAATGTATGACAAGGAGACTGGTGTATAATAGATCACGTAGGATTCGATCCCGTATTAGCTGGTTTTGCCATTTTGTTTTGTCGTTGTGTAATTTCCTAATTATTGCTTTTTAGAAATGCATTTACTGTGTTAAATGTGGAAGTTTGAATCACTTGGTTTATGTTTTAAAATATTGTAATTAAAAAAAATGAATAAAACTCATTATCTCTGCTGCAAAACGTTATTTTCCCGAAACAAGAAAACCATCGTAACACTTTTCATTAGCTAACAGTATATATATATTAATACTTTTAGATTGTATTGTTCTTAATGCTGATTATTCCTTAAGGCAATCGTAAAATTAAATACTTTTCAGAGCATATAGTTAACGTCTTATAAAATTCGTTATACTGTATTCTTCCGCCGACCTTAATTTTACTTCAGTTACAAAAACAACGTCGTAACTTTAGTTAATGTTGTTTTGCTTTATTTTAAGCGAAAGGCTGCTCAAGTGGCTGTACTATTTGTCCAAAGCGGAGATCGAGCCGTGAATGTTAGCGTTATTATAATCCCTCAAGCTTACCGCTGAACCACTAGGGGCGAAAACATTGTTGCAAAACAATTGTAAGTGTGTATGTTGAATTGTCTAATAAAACCAAAAATCAGTGTTAGATCTTACTAGGAAGATTCTTGTTTAATAGTACCCTGGTGGGACAGCGGTAAGGCTTTGGAGTTACAGCGCTAAAATCAGGGGTTCGATTCTCCTCGGTGAACACAGCAAATAGCCCGATGTGGCTTTGCTATAATAAAACACACACTCTTCTTTAACAATGCGATTTAAAACATATACCAAGATACATACAGGTTGGACAAAATAATGGAAACACCTGCTAATTTCAACATTTTATTTATTAATATAACGCTGGTTCTCTACAAGCATTGAACACAGCATGACGGGAAACTGATGAGACAAGGTGTTGTACATCAGACAATTACATGTTTGACCATTCGTCGATCTTCTGGTTGTTGAAGTGAAGGTGGTGGAGATCTGCTAAGAAGATTGGTTTCAATAACTGACCACAGAAGATCGATAGAATTTAAATCTGGCAACTGTGGTGGCCAAAGTATGAGTCCTTGTGTTCTCATAACCAATCTTTAATGAGTTCACCAGTATGATTTTGTGCATTATCTTTAAGAAACATGGAATAAAGAGTTTATGATAGATTGAACCTTGTCATCATTTTCTGTCACTTAACCTTTAAGTAAAATCATAAGCGCTAAACTATTACAGTAAAAACTCTCAGATGATAGATTACGGAATGTGGAACCATAACTGAAACACTGCTTACTGATTGATCTGATCAGAAAGAGATCCAACTTCAACAGCTGAAGGATTACAGAATGTGGAACCACAACTGAAACACTGCTCACTGATTGATCTGATCAGAAAGAGATCCAACTTAAGCAAATGATAGATTACGAATGTGGAGCCATAAGCGGAGTTCTGTCTACTGATTGATCTGATCAGAAAGAGACCCAACTTCAACAGCTGAAGGATTATAGAATGTGGAACCATAACTGAAACACTGCTCACTGATTGATCTGATCAGAGAGAGATCCAACTTAAGCAAATGATAGATTACGAATGTGGAGCCATAAGTGGAGTTCTGTCTACTGATTGATCTGATCGGAAAGAGATCCAACTTCAACAGCTGAAGGATTACAGAATGTGGAACCATAACTGAAACACTGTCTGCAGATTTCACATTTCATTTGATCTTCCGTATATCTACTGACTAAGCAAAGAATATGATGTAATCCAACTAAATCTAATCCGTTTCTTCTAAAGTATATAACAGAGCAGAAACATTCTATAAATTATTGTTATCTGTCAGAGCCAATTTCATACAACTAAGTTCAAAAGTTCACTTTGAAAATAGTTTATAATTTTCCAACCAGAGATTCTACTTTGTTTAATGCTTCTTATTGTATATTTTCTTGATGGTAATGATGTATTAAACCAAGAACATTTTTTATATACGTGAGTCCAACAGTATTATTGAAACCAGGATCAAAACAATGATAAAACACGAGTAAAGGGCATTGTTTAGTGTGACACGAGTCTTAGTATGTTTGTTTATATTTATGACCGATAAAAGCATAAGTTGATTTATAATCTTCTTATAATTAGTGAAGGATCAGTAACAAAGTTATATCGTTAAAGAGTTTATGAAATATAGCTTAAATCAATAGGAAATTATTGGTTCGTTTGTTGAATTTCGCCCAAAGCTATTCAATTACTATCTGTGCTAGCCATCCACAATTTAGAAGTGATAGGTCAGAGGGAAGGCAGTTATTAAATACCATCCACTGCCAATTCTTGGGATAACCTTATACCAACGAAAAAGTGGGATTGACATTCACATTGTAACACCACCATGGCCGAAAGAGTAAGCATGTTTGGTGACGAAATCTATAGGAAATACAGTAAATATACATAAATGGACAGAACGAAAATTTTTCAAACAGTTGCATGAAACTCGGTAAAACCAAAATGCTGATGTAGTGTTTTGATTTGGTAGTATTTCACCAGCTAGCACGTTTTCTCAATAAAATAATGTAGTCTCTTCTGAACTTTACAAATAACAATAACACGAGCGGTTAATATTTAATGTGTTTATAATGTTGGTTTTATAGACGTAAACGGTTAGTGACTGTTTTATTTTTAAGCACAAAGCTACACAGTGTGCAATTTGTGCTTACCCACCACAGATATCGAAACCCGTTGTTTTTTTTTTAGAATTATAAGTCTTTAGACTTACCGCTGAGCCACTAGGGGGCTGTATTTGTATTTTTGAAGTCAAAAACTGGGAACAAAACCAAGATTTTAAACGGAAAGAGGCAGCAAAATTCACTTAGTTATTTGAATGAAAAAATAATTCAATTTGTGTATGCGCAGATAGACCAGTATGTAGCTTTGATACAGCGTAACTCTTAACACTCGACTCGCAATCTGTGGGTCGCGGTTCGAATCCCCGTCCCGCCAAAC